AGCCAAAATGAGATAAAAGTAGAGGTGCACCGAAATGAAAATGTCAAAACTGAAACAAAACCAAAAAAAATGTCAGGCCGAAACTGAAACCGAAAATGTGTTTTTCTAACCTTTTCAAATTTTTACAAATATTTTATTTATTTTTTATAAACTTTTTAAATTGTTATATTTTATTTTTATTTAATTTTTTTTTACTTTATTGTTGGGGCTTTGGGAAATATTAGGGATCTAAACAGACCCCTGATATTTCCCTTTTAAAATGAACAGGAAATCTCTATGCTGAGTGTTCCTGTTCATTCATAACTTGAACTTGTGGAGATAGTATGTTTACCATGTCCACAATCATGAATGAACAGGAAGTGATGTAGATCACTTCCCATTCATTCATAAATGGGGACACAGTAAACATACTCAATTATTTACAAACACTCAGCGGTCACTGATCACTTGTACCCGCTCTGCATCCTGACATGCTGTCACAGGAGTGAACGGTGCAGGGAGGAGAGCTCGATCTCCTCTGACAGCTGACTCCTCCCCCGCACATCCGGCCTGACCTCCTGTGACATTTTTATAAAATGAACCCTTGCAGTGGGGCTACCACCGAAAATACATTTTCAAGGTAACCTATAATAAGTAAAATACCGACTTCCATTGATGACCTTCTTCTGGAAATATACGTTTTCCGGCGGTCTGTGGCATCAGTGTTTTTTGAGACACTGGCCTGGAACCAGCCTACAGCCAATAAAGTCAAACTTTTGTTTCTGTTACCATGTCTTTATCTGCTTCATCTTCCCTGATATCTTCAATCCATTCTTTTGCAGATGGAAAGGCCGTCTCCCTGTCTCCGCTGGACACCCAGCCTCACAGTCCCCGTTATTCCTCCTCCAGTCAGCGGGAGAGCCTGGAGGTGCGCGTACGGGAAGTGGAGGAGGAAAACCGTGCCCTGCGCAAGCAGCTCAGTCTGCTCCAGAAAAGCAGCACCTTGCATCGTCTCAACAATCGCTCCAAAACGTACTCTATGGAGGAAGGGACCGGTGACAGCGAGAGCCTGCGAGCGGGAATCGTGGCCGGAAACAGCTCGGAGTGCGGTCAGCAACCAGTGGTGGAGAAGTGCGAGGTATTAATAATTAATTAATTTATGTTACTCATTTATATAGCCACGATCCTTTTCTTTTCCTTAGCATTTTATAGATCTACAGTATTCACATTAGTCCTAGGTTCTCAAAGGAGTTTACGATTTGAAGTGTATGCAAACCTTATGTCTATTTTTCGGTGTGTTTTATATCATATCTTGCTGTGTACAGTTTTATTAAGCTAATCAGTTTTTGTGAATCTGTTGCCACATTTCTTACCTGGAGAGCCTGCCAGGAACAGCACTTTCTGTTGCAGGAGGACAATGCAAATCCAATGCCTCACTTGTAGCAGCGGCCCTGTCAATCTGCCTTGTATTGGCTTATGGGATGTGCTGTCAGCCTGCCTTGCATGCTGCCTTGCATTGGCTTTTGGGCTGCCCATCAGGTCTATCTCTCTATCTTCTGTGTACTGAGGGGGATCTGTCCAGCAGGGACAAAGGCAGCCTGGCCACACAGTATTGACTTTCAGTCCAGGAGAAAGAACCATCCACTTCCGCTACCATTTTTTCACCAGAATGGCCGAAACAGGGGTTTTAGGAAGGGTAGGAGTTCCACTTAATTTATAATTTTCTGTTTGCTATACCTCATCTCTTCTTTCTCTTTCTGAGTACAAGGTGCACATAAAAGGTCTTTAGTGAGGTTAGACAGCTGCCAGCGATCTAAGCAACATTATTGTTAAAGGACATGTAGGAATTACCAACACTTAACCCCGAACACAACTCAAGCTTGAAAAGGCTCAAAAAACCTGCTATTAGGAATATTTGAAAGCTCTTTGCTCTACAAAACATGTTGTGTGTTCCAAAGCATGTAACTATGCAATTATAGGGGTTTTTTTTTCTTCCTCCCAAGCAATAACCACACAAAAGACCCGTTTTTTGACCGCTTTGTTTCATGAAGGAATTTTTTTCTCCCTCCTCGTTATAACAAAGACTCCGCAGCGTTTCGCCTCCTCTCCTGCTCTTTTACGGGTTAACGGTTTGTTTTCCCCCCGATGCTGACTGTGTTGTGTTTAAACATAAGAATCTCTCAGGAGGACGTGATGCGCGGTTCAAATGGGCCGTGAAACTCAGATTGACAGCGTGAGTCAGGCCTGTCTCTCGGGGAGGAGAAACGAAAGAAAATTTGCAGGCAGAATATTCATTCTTTTTTGTACATGGTTACATGCCTCACAAACCTTTTTTTTTTTTGCTTAAAAAAAACCCATTTCATGCATCTAGAATAACTTACTATATAGTAATACAATAAAGTAAAATTCCTGCAGGTGGAAGTGCATAATGGATTCGAAGTACTTAAATGCTTTTTTCTGTACTTAATAACCCAGTCAGGTTAGTCCCACTTGCCCCCTAGTCAGAGAATGCATTTCAGATGGCTGCGAATGCGGAGAAAAGCGTGACAGACACTTATGCGGCTTCACACGTTACGCTCTGGCCCCAGTATGCCAGTACAAGAGCGCAGCCTCCCAGCGGCTCCAGTCCTATGGAGTATGCATATGTGTGTGTGTGTGTGTGTGTGTGTGTGTGTGTGTGTGTGTGTGTGTGTGTGTGTGTGTGTGTGTGTGTGTGTGTGTGTGTGTGTGTGTGTGTGTGTGTGTGTGTGTGTGTGTCCAGCCACCTCATTTTCATTACCAACTCTGTCACTAATCACAAGACTTTTCCGCCACCTCTTAGCGCATGGACGAAGTGCTGAAAAAATGGACTTGGCAGATGACTGCGTAAAAAAAAAAAAAAATCAGACTTGGATGTCCTGGGTTGTAGCGCACAATGGCTGTTCAGGGAAGCGTTGTAATGTGTGGGGGTCACAGAGATGTGCTACATGCTTTGATGCATATGGATAATTTTTCAGAGTGAAGATTGATTGAAAATAGATTGTGGAGCTTGTGGGCTTTTTAATAAGACCAAGGGCAGCATGCAGAGCCCAGTAACTGTGGCAACCGGTGACTCATTTTGTTTATTGTTTTGACTGATGAACAGCTAAATCGAATTGGTTGCCATGGGTTACTGCACTTTACTCATCCAGTTATTGATATCTGCTAAGGTGAGACCAGAGTATTGGTTTTCTTTATCTTATGCAGTACGATAAACCTGTAAAATGCATATTATGTAACGGTTTATTGTGTTTAGTTTAGATAGGAAGGCAAACAGAGGAGAAGAAGTAAGGAAAGAAGATCAGGGGAGAGAAGGTGAGAGAAGAGGGGAGGAAAGAAGAGGGGAGGAAAGAAGAAGAGAGGAGAGAAGAGAGGAGGAAAGAAGAGGAGAGGAGAGAAGATGAGAAGAGGAGAGGAAAGAAGATGAGAAGAGGAGAGGAAAGAAGATGAGAAGAGGAGAGGAAAGAAGATGAGAAGAGGAGAGGAAAGAAGTTGAGAAGAGGAGGAAAGGAGAGGAGGAAAGAAAATGAGAAGAGAGCAGAAGGGAGGAGAAGAGAAAAGAGGGGAGGAAAGACGATGAGATGAGAGCAGAGGGGAAGAAAGAAGATGAAAGGGAAGGAGAGGCATTGGGAGGAAAGAAGATGATTAGAGGGGAGGAAAAGTGAGGTGAGGAGCAAAGAGGAGAGGACAGGAGAAGGGAGGAAAAGAGAGAAAAACTAGGAGGTGAGAAAACACAAGGGTGGAAGAGAGTCACTAGGTGCAGAGAGGAGCAGAGAAAGGGAGTATAATTAGGAAGAAATAATAAAGAAGAATGACTAGGTAGAAAATGGAGGATAGAAAGGACAGGAGAGGGGAGGAGACTGGAAGTGAGAATGGAAAACAACTTGGAGTAGAGATGAGGAGCGGAAAAGAAAGGAGAATAACTAGGAGGTTAAGAGAGGAGGAAGATAAAAGGAAGGATGGGTCTCCCATCCCAACTAGGATGGGAAGGGAATACAGGAGAAGGGAGAGCAATGAGGAACATAGGAAGGGAGGAGAGGGAAGGGTGGAGGATGACAAAGTAGGCTAAGAATGGAGGGGGGTGACAGGAGAGGAAGAGAAGAGCACAGAAAGAAGAAGAACTAGAAGAGCAGAGGAGAGGGATGGAGAGAATAAATAAAGAAGAGCAACTAGGAGGAAAATGTAGGGCAGGAAAAAGTGGAGAGGGTAAAAAACGATGGGAGAATTATTAGGGAGTGAGGAGAAGGCAAACAACTGAGAGAAGAGTAGAACAAAGGACAGAATGTTTGAAATGGAGAGGGTTTCTATGGTCTCTGCGCTAGACTTGGCTACTAAACTATATAAATAAATGTAATTACTAAACCATTTAATACTGTATTGCCCTCTGATGGTTCAAGATCATGACAAGCAGATTTAAATCTTGTATTTACAAATAAAATATGGTTTTGCACTACTCATTTTATGATGCAACAATGTAGATTTAGATGATAGATAGATAGATAGATAGATAGATAGATAGATAGATAGATAGATAGAGATAGATAGCATATAAGCTCACACGTTTTCCTAAAGCCATTGCCCTTATTGTACCAGTTTTCACCCACTGGCTCTCATAGCTACACCATCTTTTATGGGCTGTATGGAGCACAGACAGACGTTAGGCTCCTCCATATCATTCTGTGTTTACAGCTCTGCAACTAATCTGCCATTCCTGTCTGCTGCCTAATGATTAGTTAGTTTGCCAATCTGCAGGTCGGGATTAACTCTTGATTAATTTTTGTCATTAGTTCCAAAGAAGAATTTCTGCCTGGTCACAGCTTTGTATTTCTCCCGGTCAGATCTCCCATCCAGCCAGCTTTCACATCTTCTATGCTAGCTCACTTCTTAAAAAACTTTGGCCTAAGTAGAAAAGAGGGTATTATTAGTGAGATATTACAATCGCTATTGTCACCACAGTGAGACAGCAAAGTATGTGCCTCTGCCCCCATGTACATGCTGGCTGACCAAATAGCATACATTTAGCACAAATGGGGAGGCTCCCGTTACATCATGGAAGCTGAGCTTCTTTCCCTTTTTCTTGCCTGCTTATACTTGACATACAAAAGAGAAGGAAGGAATAGTTGCAAACAGGAGGGCAAGGTTCAGATCTGGATGGATAGATGGCATTTAGAGGAATGCTTACACCATACACATTAGCTTTTTTATCATTACAGATAGTGATAATGGAGCGTGTTATGTGACCGTTTACATTAAAAACGCCAAAGGCCAGCTTTGTGCAAAAATACTTCTCTGCTTTGCATGGCTGCTGGCACATTCAATGAACTGCTGGCTTCCTGCACCTCTACAGGAGACCAGTGATGGGATTTCCCAGAATTCTAAGCTCAAAGTGCATGTAACCCTAACAGTGAGCTTCTCTTATTTGCTCCCTTTTAATCTGTTAAATATATAACTGAAACTCTTGTATTATATCCGTTTTATAATGACCGTCTGCTGATATCAGCGTTTTTTCATAATACTTTATTGTTTTGGATGTGCACACTGGTAGCCCCGCCTCGAACCTCCCCCTTTGAAGCGTTTCACTCTATAGATGGGCTGATTCATAGAGATGGAGAGGAGCAGGATGGGGGGACTATTTATATAGCGCAAGTGATCAGTATAATCAGATCCTAAAGAGATACACGAATCATATATCAATATTTCATATGTCCCATCAATGACATACAATGTTTAAATACAAGTGCCCAGGTGGAAAAGGCATCACCTGCTAAAAATAGTCTTTATTTAAATCACTAATATTGAACATACTAAAGGCTAAAACTATAATAGGATTATCAAAATGAACCATTATCCTATTATTGGTTCCATCTTCAGTACTTTTAATATTAGCGATTTAAAGCTGAACTCGGGGAATTACACAAAAACTACCCTTGTACTAGGGTGCAAGTCTAGTAGTAGAGGAATAAGATGTAATGCTTACCTTGTTCCTTACTCTGGCAGGCTTCAGGTGCTCTCCTTATCTCTTCAGTGCTCCAGGTTGTGGGAGGGCCTTCGCTATGCTCACATACAGTGCAGGGCTATTGGCCCGACAGGTGAAATATGTGAAAGTCTGGTGGTCTATGG